GGGGGGGGGGGGGGTGCGCTCACGGCTCGCCTCACTCCCGGCTCGCCTTAGGGGGGGGCGGGGGGGGTCCGACCGACTCAGTACGACTCTCTAGCTAGTGGTATACGTGCTGCTTCCCTCGTTGTCCACGTCGGGCTCGATCGCGGACAGGGGCACGTGACGGCGGCTTCTAGGGCCGGCGCGCGCGCCTGCTGCGGTGAGGGTGGGTATCGCGGCGTTGCTCAAACACTCGCTGCAAGCCCAAAGGATGTACAAGGCTACCACCAGGGCAGCGCCGGCCATCAGGGCGCGCAGCGAGGCTCGCACCAGGGCGGCGGCGCCATACTCTACCCGTGCCCGTACCCGTGCCGCCAAGAGCGTGGGCCCGGCAGGAGGCGACTCGGGCGGCGACGGCGATGGTGACGTCGGCGGGCGAGGCGGCGAGCGTGGCGGCGTGCGAGGCGGGTGCGGCTTCAATTCGAGGTGTGGCTGGAGCGGCGGAAACGTGGGCGGGGCGGGCGGCAAGAGCGGCGGCCGGCCGTGTCCGCAGCCGGCGGGCTGCAAGAAGAGCCGCAGGTTGATGGCGTCAAACATTGCAGCGTGGCCCTCCTCGTTCGGGTGCCATGCGTCCGCCCGCATCCTCGGCTGCCAGTGCGCGAGCGGCGATTGGCCCGCGCCGGCCTCTGTCCGTTCGAGGAAGTTGATCACGGGCCACCGCCACGCGGCCATGCGAGCATGCGTGCGGCGCAGCTCGCGCGTCTGGGTCAGGTCCAAGTCATCATTCGGGTAGACCCCGCCGAGCACCACCGACGCGCCGGCGCGCTCCGCGCTCGAGGCGAGCTCGTGCAGCCCGAGCAGGAAGCCGTCGGCGAGCTGGCGGGCCGCAGCCTCTGAGCCGGCGCTGGCGAGGCCCTCGTTGGCGAGGGACAGCCCGATGACGACCGTGCCGGGGACCTCGGGCCCGGAGAGCAGCGCAGCCAGCACCGGCGCCGTCGTGGCGACGGTGGCGCCGGGCACGGCAGAGTTGGAGAGGACGAGTCCGTGGCGTGGGTCCGCGAGAGCCGTCCGTAGCCGCCCCGCCCACCCAAGAGGCCTCTCGCCTGTGGTCGGGGAAGGCGCCGCCTGCAGCCCAGCAGCCACGGACGAGCCAACCACGGCGACGGTGCAGCGGCGAGGCTGGAGCCGCGACGACGGAGGCGGCGGTCGTAGGGGCGGCTGCGACGGCGGCGGCGGGGACGTCGGGGGCGGCGGCGGTGACGGGGGCGGCGGCAGTGACGGCGGCGGCGGCGGCGGCGGCGGCGGCGGCGGCGGCGGCGGCGGCGGCGGCGGCGGCGGCGGCGGCGACAGTGAGCCGCAAATGGCAACTCCGGTCCACGCAGAGGCCGCCTCGGCGGCAGTGCCGCCGCAGTCGCCTCGCGCCGCCGAACTCGTGTCGCGGCTGGCGCAACTCACCTGCCGCGCGTGGTAGCCGCTGCCCACGAAGGGACGCACGTTGTTGGGCTTGTCGTCGAAGAAGTACACGGCCGATGCATCGATGCTGGTGCGGCGCTCTCGCTCGTACCAGCGCAGGATGCCGGGCACCGCCTCCTGCTTGCGGCCCTCGGGAGCTGTTACCACAAACGGCGAGCGGCCATCCCGGTTTGGCCATGCAGTCCAGGCCGGCATTGTTCCCGCCTTCGCCCCCCCGCCGAGCACGCGCCACAGCGCTGTGCGCTCGAGCGAGCCCTCGCCGCCGGCTGGGCCAGCTGAGATGATCGCAAATCGGCAGGCGGCGCAAATGGTTGTGTGGAGGTTCACGGCGAGGTCGGAGAGGACGAGCGTGCCGCCTCCGTATGCGGTGTCAACGACGCCGCCCTGCTCCTCGGTGCCAGCACATCGCCCTGCGCTGCCCTGCTGAGCGGTCAGCGTCCGATCCACGTCAAAGATGCACAGGCAGGGTGGCGGCAGCGCGGCTCCGAGAGCGCCGGCGGCGAGCGCAGGCGAGGCGAGGACGGGCAGCATCGGGTGGTGCAGCAACTGGTTTGGATCAGGGCGGGTCAGGCGAGTGAGCTCTTTTGCGGCGGGCAATCGGCGGCGGCGTCACACAAACACACACAAAACAAAAGAAAAAGCGGATTTCCGGCCAGACTGCCAGGCCAAGCGACGGAGCTGCAGGCCAAGCGCGAACGGACGCGACGCGACGCGCGTGTGATGACGGCAAAGCGGCTCGTTGCCGCCCAGCGCGACGCGGACGCGCGCCTTGACGAGCTGCTCGCGCTGAGAGCGACGCTTCGCACGCGTTCGAGCGAGCTCGACGCGAGAAAGGCCGCGCTGGGCGCCCGACGGTCGGCACTTGCAGCTGACAACGGTGGTGGCGACGTCAGGCCATCCGACCGAATCAAGCTCAACGTGGGCGGCTGTCGCGTCGTGACGACGAGGGACACACTGACGCTCTTTCCCGGCACTCGGCTCGCCGCACTCTTCTCCGGGCGGTGGGAGAGCAGGCTGCAGCGCGACCGCAACGGCCGCATCTTCATGGACGTCAACCCGACCGCCTTCAAGAAGATCCTGGACTTCCACCAGTTCGCCAAGATTGCGAGCTCGGAGGACCCGCCGCCGCGGCCGACTGCACCTGAGGTGCGCGCAGTCTTGAGGGCGGAGTCCACATCTCCACTTCCACGCCAGCACCGGCATGTGTCCCCTCCGCCTCCTCCACGCAGGACCTCGAGGCAGTGCTGGCCGCTCAGCTGACCTTCTTCGGCCTGACCGCCATGTTTGAGCGCGCGCCCGCCGCCGCCGAGGTGGGCGAGGCGGCGGCAGGCGAGGCGGCGGCGGGCGAGGCGGCGGCGGGCGAGGCGGCGGCGGCGAGGGCGGGGCCGTTGCGGGAGTGCCCGCACTGCCTGAGCACGTTCCGCGACCCAAAGGGGAGCGACGGGCCCGCCGCGGCACTCTCCGAGGGAGCGGCGCGCGCGCTTGAGGCGGAGGCGCGCGCGCTCGACGCCGCGCTCGAGGCGCAGGACGGCGAGGAGGGCGCCTTCGAGCGCGAGGCGCCCACACTTTTCTCCCATTGTCTACCCCCGGGGGGGCGTGGGCGGCGGGGGAGGGGCTTCGTCGCGGGGCCAGAGTCTCACCCTGCTTGTGCGGGCGTCGCAGGAGTCGTTCGTCTCCTTCTTTTTCGGCGAGACGAAGGACGTGGTCGACTTGTGCGTGACGGGGGAGCGGAACCCAGACGCGGAATACGTATCCATGTATTCCAACTACCGATCCAGAGTCGACCGTGTTCGGCTGCACTCATTGTATGCAGCCCGTGTCTTCACTGCTCGGGAGTACACTGCACAATGCCGCACGCCCGCCCCGATGTTGGCGTATGCAGCACGTAGGAGCGCATGTCGGCCAAGCGCTCCACACTTCGGGCGTGCGCCGGCGCGCCGCCCCAGACGCGGAGATATGGGGGAGATATGGGGGAGATATGGGGGAGATATGGGGGAGATATGGAGATGCGCCGCCCTAGATGCGGAGGAGGACGCGTCCACGACGCGGCCGTGACACGTCCGCGACACCAGCTGTTTGCCTTTGACCCGCTGGGGTGTTCGTGCCGTGCGCGCGGCGTAAGCCTTGGGTGGCAGAGAGCTCTGTTCCGCGATAAGTCCGCGACACGCCCGCGACACGCCCGCGGCACCGCCCGCGGCACCGTCCGCGGCACCGTCCGCGGCACCGTCCGCGGCACCGTCCGCGGCACCGTCCGCGGCACCGTCCGCGGCACCGTCCGCGGCACCGTCCGCGGCACCGTCCGCGACACGCCCGCGGCACCGCCCGCGGCACCGTCCGCGGCACCGTCCGCAGGCTCGCCGCTCGCGAGCCAGTTCGACGACGAGATGTGGGCGCAGGCCACGACCACTTCGCCGGCGGGTGGCGGCGGCGACGACAGCGACGACGGCTGCGTCTCGATCGACTTCTCGGCGTACTGCTTCGGCAAGGCGAGTGGAGCGCCTCCTGCCCCTGCCGCCTCCGCCTGCCCCCCTGCCCCCTGCCGCTTGCCCCCTGCCCCTGCCGCGTCCGCCTGCCCCCTGCCGCCTCCGCCTGCCGCCTGCCGCCTGCCGCCTGCGCCTGCCCCCTGCCGCCTCCGCCTGCCGCCTGCCGCCTGCCGCCTGCGCCTGCCCCCTGCCGCCTCCGCCTGCCGCCTGCCGTTTGCGCCTGCCCGCCCTCTGAAGAGCTCTCTCCGGCTCGGAGCCGTCCACTGCGTCCCACGCCGCCTCCTCTCAAGGCCGGTCGGAGCCCTCCACCCCTTCACCTCCCGCCCTCCTGCCACCCCTCCACCTCCCGCCCTCCTGCCCACGAGGTGGTTGACCACCTGCGCCTGCTCGCCATCGCGCGCGAGGGCGACAGGTCGGCGCTGGCGCCGCCCCAAGTCCGCGCAGACCAGAGGGACAACTTTGCGCGCCTCGGCGCGCCTCGCCCCTCTCGACGATCTGCCGCTGCCCGCCCCCTGTCTCGATCTGTCTCGATCTGCTCACAGGACCTCCATGTATAAGC